TAAAAAAAAAAAAAAAAAAGATGTTAGAGTTCGAAAGTGTCCCTCAGTGTGTGGGCGTCGGTCTTCCCGTCTTGGTGTTTGTGTGTGTCTGTGTGTGTTTGTGGTTGTGTGTGTGTGTGTTTGACAGCAAAACAGACAGAAACTGAATCATGAGCCATCGGTTTTGTCAGCGTAGGCGTCTGACAACCAGGAAAACCACAGGAAGTGAGGGAGGAAGTGACTCGTCCTGATCTCACCCCCGCTCCACCAGCCCACGCATCCCTCACACTCTGCAGCCTCAGCTGTGTGTGTTTGTGTTGCAGTGAAATGACACACACTGTTTACTTCACACATTAAGAAGCTACAAACACACGACATGCGTTACCAAGTATAAAAACGTAGATTAATTGTTGTTGTCGTTGAGTCTGAGTCGTTCACTTCCTGTCACATGGGCTCAAAGAAGCCGTGAGGGTTCAGACGGAACATGAAGGACTTCTGTGCTTTATTCAATATTTGTTTTTTTGATTCAATGAAATTGTTTCATGTCACAGTTTACAAATTGAAACCTCCGTGGCGTTTCATCACTTCCACACAGTTTCCACATGTTGAGGTGTCACCGCAGTAACTCACCTCTCTCTGTGCTGCAGGGTTACAACGGAGCCCCGAGGGCCTACATCGCCACCCAGGGGCCGATGGTGCACACTGTGGGGGACTTCTGGGACATGGTGTGGCAGGAGAGGAGCAGCATCATTGTCATGATCACCAGACTCAAGGAGAACAACGAGGTGAGGAGATGGGACTCCTCCGTCCTCCCATCGTGGAAAAGTGGTGGAAAGTAACAAAGTACATTAAGTCCAGTACTGGACACGAGTTCAGCTTTGAGACAGATAATTACAAAGCAAAACTTTGGTCCCTCAGTGGTTTTGTCCTTAAACATGCATCTTTGCGTTTGAGCCAGAAATGTGAGCTGTACTGGCCTCAGCCGAGGGACACGACGTCGACGAGGGTGAAGAGGGTCGATGGAAATGAGGAGGAGCAGAGGGAAGAGGATGAAGACGAGGGAAAGACGAGTCAATTCGGCAGATTCGTCCTCAGAGTGAAAGACAGCCAAGAGAAAGATGGGTTCACGATCACCGACATGGAGATCCAGGTACACGACAAACACTACAAATCACCTGTACAACTACAGACAGTCTGTTGATGTGATGAAGCAGTGAGGGATGATGGGAGTTGTAGTCTTCTCCTGGTTTGGGTTCCTTCAGTGTTGGAGGTTTTTTTTTTATCAGTTTTTATCTGTTTCTCCAAAACTAACGCTAACGTTTGCTCAGCTGGTTTCTCTGAGAACTTAAGATCCAGACGTCCAACGACTCAAATCCTTCATCTGCTTCAAATATTTTATGAGTTAAAAACCAGCAAGACCTAAAAGGTGAATCGTAAAAATGTGACTTCAAACTGGATTAAAAGACCTTAACATGTGTGTGTGTGTGTGTGTGTGTGTTGTGTGCACAGTTATCTTCGGAGTGTCGTACTGTCAGACACTACTGGTTCACTTCTTGGCCCGACCACCACATCCCACAATGCACCGCTCCTGTGCTGGGGCTGGTGGAGGAGGTGGAGTCGTACAGCAGGTCCCTCCTACTGCCCAGCTCCCAGCCAATCACAGACTCCGTCCCCGGCCCTGGACCAATCATCGTCCACTGCAGGTTGGTTGGTTCCCGTGTTGTACGTTCAGAGAAGAAACCCACGACCTCTGCAGCAGATACGTTTCTTCCTGCCCCTGTCTGCGGCTCCGCCTCTCACCTGAACACTGTGATTGTTGTTGTGAAAGCATCAGAGCGGAGAATCTCCTGCTGTGCTGCACATGTGTGACTCCAGAGAAAGTCCTGACACAATTCTGCGGACATTCTCCGGAATCCGTGTCTGAAATTGGAGTTCCCTGCACAAGATGCACAAACGATCAGCAGTCCTACAGCATATATTCTGTTCAGAGTGGAACAGGTGCCGGTTCTGGAGGAACTGCTGAAGGTCCGTTAGAGGGTAGAACATACATGTCATCAGATGATGGAGAACATTCAGGCCTGCAGTCCAACATGGGCTGTTGGAGGAGGGTTTACAGTCATCCATTAACTTGATTCAGTTTTTGTCCTGTAGAGAGGATCTGGATTTCTCCTTGAAATGGGTCTTTTGAAAAACCAAACCTCTCTCTCGTCCACCTCCTCCTCTTCCTCCTCTTCCTCCTCTTCCTCTCCTCTCAGTGCAGGTATCGGCAGGACAGGTTGTTTCATAGCGAGCAGCATCAGTTGTCAGCAGCTCAGAGAAACTGGTCAGGTTGACATCCTGGAGACGGTTTGTCAGCTTCGACTCGACAGGTTGGTGAAAAAAAAAAGATTGAATCTCTCGTTCTCTGTCGTCATGTTTCGACCTGTGAGTTAACATGTCTGACCTGCAGGGGCGGGATGATCCAAACCACCGAGCAGTACCAGTTCCTGTACTACACTCTGGCCCAGTACAGCTCCAAACTACAGCTGGACCAGGTACCAGACCAACACACATTAGATCATTTCAGTGACTTGAGAACTGGTCATGAGAAAAGTTTACTATCTGAATTAATGTGAACTGAAGATGGACGACGACCGATGACGTCATTTGTGACTTCAACAACTTTAAAAAGACATTTTTTTTCTTCAGGAGCAGAATCAGAACCAGCTGAACCCAGAGGACAGCGTCAGCATAAAGCTACGCAACCTCCATCTGGACAACACACGACACGAGAGGAACTGATGCCACACAGAACCTCTGCGCTCCGGACGGAACCCAGGAGACCTCAGAACCAAACTCATGGAAACAAGACACAACACCAGCAGCAGAATCCAAAGACCTGAGGCCGTTAAGTTAAGGACAGAGAGTTAAAGAACCAGCAGAATCACAGGAAACGAACAGGAACTGAGACTGAAAATCAACAGAACTCATTCAGAACCGAGAACCAGAACCATGATTCCGGAACTTAAAGAACCAAGTTGAAAAAAACACAAAATGTCCTTTACAGTGTTTATATGAAATCAAATAAAATATAAATTTATGATCTTTGACTCAGTGTTTTTAGAAACGTTTAAATAAATGTACTATAGGAAGTAAAGCTGTGAAGTAATGAGGGTATGTAAAGAATCAGTGATGAGTAGCCTGTGTCTCCAGCAGGGGGCAGTGTTTCAGACACACGGGAGTTTTTTCTCCTCTTGTTTCTTCTTCTCTTCTTCCTCATTTATCAGCCCCACCCAAACAGGAAGTGGAGCTGTCACTTTCAACCAAACCCCAAAACACGACCGATAACAAAGGAAACGGAGAATGAACAAAACCCCTAAATGACGGATTTAACGATTATTGTCAATTGTACTTAAATATATTGTCGATATATTGTCTTTACTTGACGATATACTTAAAGCAACCGGTGTAAAATGGAGATTTATTTTTAAAGGGCTGCGCCGGATGTGCTGTGAGTGGTTTCCGCTGTTGACGGCTCCGTGGTGAAAGGCGTCGCTAGTAAACATCCCTGAAAACTCACGGCGGACATTAAACCTGAAAACACCGCGGCATCGAACCTCCGCCGCGGCTCACACCAACACGGTCGCTGTTGTCCGGTTTCCCGGCCCCGTCCGCGGGTGTGTCAGCGACGGTCAGCGTCTCGAAGGACTGCCGGGGCGTTAGCCAGCTAGCTCGCTAGCATATCCACCTAGCCGTAGCAGCAGCAGCTCGTATTAGCATTAGCGTTAGCGTCAGGCGACCAAGATGATAGCGCTCATCAACAAACTGCTGGACTGGTTCAAGGCGCTGTTCTGGAAGGAGGAGATGGAGCTGACCCTGGTGGGGCTGCAGTACTCCGGCAAGACCACCTTCGTCAACGTGATAGCGGTGAGTCCGAGGCTAGTGTAGCCGCCAACAGATGTGCTAACGCCAGACAGTCCTCCAGTTAGCATCCTGCTCCATCTATTGTTGTCCCGCGGAGGTGAGGTCAGCTACCTGCTCGTCAGCCGCTGCGTGTTTCTACACGCGCGTGACTTCACCTGCGGTTTGTTAAAGTCTGCGGGAGTTTCTCTGCGGTCACTGACGATCAGCTGTTAATGTGTCGGTCACTCCGCCCAGCTGTTCTCACATCTGCACCGGGGGGAAGGTGTCTGACCTCCACCCGGGATGTTCATGGTTTTTAGTGAAAAGGGGATAAAAAAAAGCAGAATTGAGACCGGATGTCTCCTCTCGTCCTGGTGCTTGTTAGGAGGTGTGGGCCAGAGTCACAGGGTCGATCCCCCCCAAACCCGATGCGGCTGTCACAGTGACCTTTCCTCCCTGTCATGCCCCCCCCACCCTTCATCTGTTGAGATTTATATTCTGTATGAACACCACACAAATGTGTTGACTGACGTTATATGACTGGTCAGGTTGTTAATAATAATTATAATGATAATAGAATCTTAAATGTGAAGCACAGTGAGGTACATTCCAAGATCGCACAGTAATGGAGCACAAATACAAAAATAAAGAATGTTCCTGACGAGAAACAAGACAAAGTAAAACATTAGTAAATGGTTAGTGAACAGTTTGTAAAATCAGAACTAGAAGAAAGCCCACGTCCAAGAACACGTCTTTTCAGGAGAGATTTAAAACAGAAGGAGTTTTCCTCGGGGAGATCGATCCGAACAGTGTGAGTCCTGAAACAGAAAGGCCCAGTTGCCTCAGGTCCTCAGGACTGTGGGGGTCGTCACTGAAGGCCTCAGGTTATTACACATGGTGTCAGGAGGCCTGAATGTTCCAGGGTGCAAGTCCAGGATGGGCCTCAAAAGTCAGCAGTCAGTCTAAAGATCAATAGTAAAATTTACAGGAAGGTAATAAGGAGAAGCTAAAGTCAGTCTTTTAGTAGATTTAGTGAGAAGTCTGGCTGCTTCTCACTGTGAGAAAAGTACCAGTTAAAATGATCACGGGTCAAACGGGTGCTGCAAAATTAAAAGGAGCGTGAATGAGGTCTAATGAAACACCTGCGTGGGAGGACTGCGGGTGTGCAGTGGTTTTTAAGAGTCTTTAATTCACATTTAGATATAATTATAAGTTCTAACGATGTCATCCAGCATCATCAGCAGTTGTGTATATTCATAGGTAACGTGTGTAATGTGTTTTGTGTGTTTGTGTGTTTCAGTCGGGGCAGTTTAGTGAAGACATGATTCCCACAGTTGGATTCAACATGAGGAAGATCACTAAAGGCAACGTCACCATCAAGGTTGGTAGTTTCAACTCCCTGCTTCTGAATGTATTGATTTGTCTCACTCTGACATTTTCCTTCACACTCGCTCCTCCTCCAGAGAAAATACGGAGGAACTGTGTAGTCCAGTGCATGTGTGAGTGACATTTAGGATTCTGCCTAAATCATTGATCCTTGGATTTAAGTTCTTTTCATCCAGTAAAAGAATAAAAAATGAACCCATGAGATAAACATTTAAATCAAAATACTCAAATTCACACTCAAAGAGAAAGAATTCACCTTGTTGTTGTCTTTTGAAATAAAAAAAGCAGAAATGAAACCAATGTGTGTTTGAACATGTTGTCTGTAACCGAGCTGCTCTGTCTGTGTCTGTAGTTGTGGGATATCGGCGGCCAGCCTCGCTTCAGGAGCATGTGGGAGCGTTACTGCCGAGGAGTCAGCGCTATCGTGTAAGTCCCGGTTTCCTAACCTGCGGTAGCTGTCACTTAAATGAGCCACTGGGACGTCACTGCCCGGTCCAAACTCAACAGTAACCCCAGAGAGAAAGAGATGAAGAAATAAAAAAGCCCTGAGTTGAAAGTGTCCTCGGGTCTCGTGTTGTATTGACCCAGTTGTGTTGGTGAGACGTGGACTGGAGAGCTGCGACTTTTCTGAAAGCAGAGTTTGGATGAAGTGAAAGTGAGGCTGAGAGTTTGTGCCACATTTTAGGACACAACAGGATTCAGAGATTTGTAAACTGTGTAAACATTAAAAATTCAGAGACGTTAACTGATGAGGTTGTGACAATAAATCAGTTTAATAATGGAAAGAACAGCGAGGTTGAGGTTGTGGTTGTAAAACTTGTGGCGATCGAGACACTTTGAGTGAAATAACAGATGTTAAGTGATTTTTTTTTTTTCCTTTTCTTTCGGTTTTCAGTTACATGGTCGACGCAGCAGATCCAGAGAAAATCGAAGCCTCCAAGAACGAACTCCACAACCTGCTGGACAAACCGCAGCTGCAGGGAATTCCTGTAAGAACCAGAACCTACGAGACAGACAGAACCGACCAGAACTGACAGAAACCGACTGACCTGACTCCTGTGATTTTATCTGATGTGTTCTCTGTGTGTGTGTGTCTGCAGGTTCTGGTTCTGGGCAATAAGAGAGACATACCAGGAGCTCTGGATGAGAAAGAGCTCATAGAGAAGATGTAAGTCAACTCACTGTGTTTGATTCTATTTTATTGTAGTTTCATTTTCTGACATTTTTATTTTATTTATCTAATCAGGAACCTGTCGGCCATCCAGGACAGAGAGATCTGCTGCTACTCCATCTCCTGCAAGGAAAAGGACAACATCGGTATGACATGCACACACACACACACACACACACACACACACACACACACACACACTCTGCTGACGTCACACCTCTCTCTCTGCAGACATCACCCTCCAGTGGTTGATCCAACACTCCCGGACTAAGAGGAGTTCCTGAGAACAGAGACACGCCCCTTACCGAACAGGCCACGCCCATAGATCCTAACACACCCTCTCCCTGATCATCACCACCACCCCCCCACCCCCACCCATCTCACCCCACTGCTCCTCAACAACATCTGTACTCCCTCACCCCACACTATCACCCTCCCTCCACCCACCCCACCCCCCCGCCGCCCCGCCCCCTCCACCTCTGGATGCATTGATACCTCTGGGTTTTGGTTTCTCAGCAGCTGGATCACGTCAGAAAAAAAAAAACTAAGCCTCCGACAGTAAATTGAACAACATCCATTTTTGTCGATGTATTAGTTGAACGAACGCATTTCCTCAGTTCTCCTGTCGACCTCACATCTTATTCTGTTTCACTGTGTAATGATTTTAAATCTTTTTGCCAAGCTGAAAAAAATCCTCCTGCAGCTCAGAGTTAACGACGGCAGAATTGTTTATGTTAATGAAGAGACGTGAACGCACTGGTGTACGCAAACAGTCGGCGTGATGTGAACGTTCACTGCGTCGGGGTCGGCGTCCATGTTGGACCGAATCTGCGGCAGCGAGGAAATGAGTCGCTCCGCCTCGTGTTTCCATATTTAACGTTTCCGAACAATAAGCTGGAGGAAGAAAACTCAGAGGCGTCATTGTTGTCACGGTAACAACAGTATTAACAATAATTAGGTCAAACTGAACTGGTGACTGTCTCCTGATCAGACATTTGTCAACCAACCGTCACTGGAACGAAGAATTCCCAGCAAACACCAGGAGAAGTGAGGTCACATGGGTTTGTGACAGTGAAGCGGTATCAGTGCATCGTTACAGATCCACACAACAACTTCCATCAGTTTTATTTTTTAACCTCATCAAACTGTCGATCTTCACCATAACTGCCAAAAACTACAAACTGATAAAAATCATTTTGCTTTTCGTTCTAAAGGCCATAAAACACTTGGTTGTCTGGAGCCTGTTTTGTGGATCTGATCATTTCCTAATCCTATCACCACAAATCTGCCGTCATCATTTCCTCTCCTCCTTTTTTTTTTTTTCCACTTCTATCGATTTTCATCCCTCCCTCTCTCCTTCCACTTTCCCCTCTCTACCTCCACAGCATCTCTCCATCCATTATTTCACCTTTATATAATCCTTAGAAGCCCCTCTTCCTCCCTCGTCTGTTGTAAACTGCTTGTCCTCCTCTGTACTCCCTCTATCTTTCCTTCCTTCCTTTTCTTATTTTTGGATGTTACCTTCTTCCTCTCTTTCCTCGTCGCCCAGCCCCTCGCTGTCTTTCTCTCTCTCCTGCTGAGCGAGGGATTAAAAACCTTTTTATTGCACTGTTGATTTTGGTTTTGTAAGATATTAATAATGAGAATAATGTTAATAATCTTCTTATTGTGATATAAGCTGGTCTGTCCAGATTTAATGAAGTGGTACATAAACTGGAGAAGGAGATTGTTATTGTTTCTGTTCATATCTCTGTAATAAGCTTTTTATTTCTTATTTGTTTTATATTGTTATTTTTTTATTGTTTGTGGAGTTTTCTCTGGACGCTCAGCCAGAGCTCAGTGTTTCTGCTCTGAGACGTCTGCTGATTGGACCAGGGGTGTCACGTGATCAGGCTGCAGTGTTGTGATAAGACTCATTCAAAGCCACAAATTAAATCTTTATTTTAAAATCCATTTACTTCAATGTTTACATTTTATTTTTTTGTGACTATTAGTTTAAAACAATTAGACATTAATATAATATAACATTTAAATGTTCTCGTATATTATGCACACAAGTGGGAGCGATTCCGTTGTAATAATGTTTGTTTATCGGTGATAAACCAGATGTGATAGATTTATGATTCCAAAGTTTGCATCGATGCTACGCAAGGAAAACTTCTTTCTATATTTATTTATGTCGTCTATTTAATCATAACAACAAATATTCAGTCATTCAAACCCATTAAGTACAATTTAGTGTTTAAACACACAATAAAGCAAAACAGATATTTGTAAAGAAAAATACTGATAAGTGGCAAAAATATTTTCATCTAATAAAAATAGATTTTATTTTATTGTCTTGATTCCCGATTTAAAAGTTGGGACTCGAAACGTGAGCACGTAGCTTTGTCCAAAGATCCTCATCAACATCACATCCTCATTTTTCACGTCGTTTGTTTCAGCTGTAACATTATTGGTCGCATCACGTTGTGACACATCCTGGTCCGCAGCCAATCAGACGTCAGCACAGACGGGAACATGACCTGTCTGTATGTTTTCTGTTACCGAGGTCATTTAGGTTAAGAGTGGTCAGGCGGTCAGGTGTACGTGGGAGATTGCTTCTGCTCGCACACACTCGTTCCTCTTTTCACTGTCGGGCCGAACGTGGCTTATTCTGGCGTCGGGAGACTTCCTGCGCTCTCATGAAACATCAGTTACAAACGTCCCTCGCCAATTTTATTCAGGATGTGACAAAATATTTTCATCCTCAGCTAAACTCTATAAAAATGTAAAATTTCTGCCGACCGTCTTTTCCGTTGTCTGACGAATTGCTTCAGCTTCAACAGATTTGTGTCTGGAGCGACGGCAGAGGACAGGAAGATAAACCGGTGGTTGTTTTTTGAGATTATAGAAACGATTGTTTAGTTTATTGAAGGAACCAACATCCACGTAAATCGGATGTTTGGTGTGTCGGTGTGTTGTAACTGTCCCAGTCACAGACGTCACGTTCTTGTTCGTTGGGTTTCCTGGATTTAATCTAACCAGTTGAATCTAGAAGTAGAGTTCTTCTGCCAACAATCACATTTTTAAAATCCCAACAAAGCTTCTTTAAACTCCAGAGAATGTGAGGCTCAACTTCCAGCAACACGAGATCAAACTCCTGAGCCCGATCTCTTCGTAGCTTTTATTGTGAAAGTGCTTTTGTTTTTCCACAACAATAACAACAACGGCGATCAGTGATGATAGGCCTCTTCCCCCCCGACAGTGGAAAGCTGCTCCTTCCTTAATGAAAACCCAGAGCAGCTGAAGGAGCTGAAGCAGCTGAAGCAGCTGAAGGAGCTGAAGCAGCTGAAGCAGCTGAAGCAGCTCAGTGAACAGTCTGGAGCAGCTGCCGTTCTTTAGCGGACCACCAGAGAACATCGAGAATCTTTTAAACCGGCTGTTTGTTCTCCAGCTGCTCCAGATGTGAGCTGCTGCTGTTCTCCGAGAGTCGCCTGACTCCGTTCAGGGCCACTCTGAGTTTATCGATCCGTTGATCAGCCAGCACAGTGATTATTAGTTATTGATGCCGTCAGGCGGATCAGATTGCCAAGAGAGTTTCAAAGGTGCAGCTTCATGACCAACAGGAAGTCACCGCGGTTTGAAACGGGGACAAAGTTATTTACCGGTCGAGACCTGAGATCTTCAGGATACATCAAACTAGTTTGAAGCACATTGATTCTACATATGGTGGCGCAGTGGCGCAGTGGTTAGCATCGCTGCAAGGAGGTTCTCAGTTAGAATCCCACGGTGCAGACTGGGGTCACGTTAACTGGAGACTCTAAACCATCCGTACGTGGGAACATAGACGGCCTCCGCTCAGCCACGTCAGCTGGGATTAGCTCCAGCTCGACCAGCGACCCCGACAGGATGAAAGGACTCGTTCAGACGTAGAACATAAAAGGCGAGATTCATGTTTCCCCTCCGACTCGTGAGGAGGAGCTTGACGTGTCTGTGCAGTTGCTGGGTAAAGTCAGCACAATGGCGGGATTGAGTCCTTTGTGTGAATCACACTCACCCTGTGAAAACTTGTGATTTTCTGAAAGAAGAATCTTCAACTTCTCTAAGTAGAAAAACAACAATAACCAGAATCACAGCAGGAAACAAACGGACAGACTGAACCACGACAGTTGAGATGTTGTCTCTCGTTTGTTGGGATTCAGACTCTGTGTCCCCTGAACCGGATCCCGGTTCATCGTCCCAAACATGTGAACCTTGAAATCCTTGGCTTCTGATTGGCTCTGAGCTCTTATGTTTGCATGCGGAGGGCAGAGATTGTATATCTGTAGGGACCGGACGATGTGAAAGGTTATTTTGGTGCAACTTTATGGTAAAATGGCCTTAATCCAGTGAGTGTTAACCTATAGAGACGTAAAGAACACAACGTGAAATGTCCTTAAAACAGTGCAATAAAACAGAAGTATTGATATTGTGCTTTAACCTGTTTTTACATGTTTCTAAGTACATGATGTCAGAGAAGGAGCCGTGTGCTTTACAGATGAAAACACTGGACTATGGTCATTGTGATGTAAAGTTTGACCTGTTTGCTTTTTTTAAGGAGAAAAAAAAAAATCCAGTAACGACCTTTGACCCTGCATGTACGAACTGAACCTTTGCAGGATGTGATGTCACGTGTGTCACGACCGTCCTGTTTTGATTCGATCATCACCCGAGAATCCACGGCCGCGGATTTTAAAACCGAATCAGCAACGAAATCCAAACACGAGAAGCAACGACAGACGAATCTCACGTCGTCTCGGCAGATACAGCTGCTCAGTGGTTAGATGATTTTAAATGGTTAATTAATGTTAATAATACATTTAAATCAGAGAGATGTTAAATCAATTTCAAATATACTTGTTTGTGTGAATTCAGTTTTACAATATTTAATCTAAAATCAATTTTCTAACGTCTTCGACCAAACTGCAGCTCGATCTTTCTCCTCCTCCCTCCTCTCGGTGGTACGACGGCTCGTTTCTGCTTCTCCTCTGCTCTTCTTCCTCCTTTTCTGTTTAATCGTGTCTCAACAAAGAGTAAATTGAAAAGTTTTTTTAATCCAGAGACACAGTAAGTGGGCTGCTGGTTGTGCAGTGCCTTGCTCAACGACACTTTTAACAGGTCACACGTTTTCACCGCGGCTGTGTTTGGATTTCTCTGGTTCAGTTTGGGATCCCGTCGTCGTGTTTGTACATGTGGGGTTTTAACACGGCGAAGACGGACGTCGCTTTGAACTCGTTTGTACATTATGATTTGATTCAGTTGATATTATGTGTTTTAATAGAAACATGCTTGTGTATGATACTAATAAAAAAACACTATGGAGAAACAACACAAGAGGCTTTCAGCTGTTTGTGTCCGGGACAAAGTCAAAGGGACAAAATCAATACACACTCAGAATCATGAGAAATAAAATGAGAGGTTGAGAAACGAAAACCGTTCTTCAACCATTAACTGATCATGAAGTGTCAGTGTTGTCTGTGGTGAGAGATCAGTGCTTTACTGTGTAATCTCACACATGCAGTTAAAACCAATGTCTTTATAATTATATACATTTTATTATTGGACAAAATATTATAATTTACGTTCATTTTTAGTTGATTTAATTTGTTTTTCTGCAATTTTCCATCCAGTCAAATTAAAGTCTCAGAGATAATGTAAGTGAGGGGACAGCAGGGGGCAGCACGCACACACATCTCTAGTGTGGGTGTGTGTGTGTGTGTGTGTTCCTCGGGTTCATGACAGTGATCGTCACAGTCGGATGAGAACAGTCATCAGATCTGACGGCTGCAGGAAGACAAACTAAAACATTTTCAAACAGTTGAATCACATGTTACATAACAAGCAGCAAATTAAAGTAAGAACAAATTCACCTTCTTCTCCTGGCTGCAGAGTTCTGCTCTGTGTTCACGCTCCATCAGCGAGTTCCACGTGTTCCACATGTTCCACATGTTCCACGTGTTCCATGTGTTCCACATGTTCCACATGTTCCTCATGTTCCTCGTGTTCCACATGTTCCACGTGTTCAGCTCCTCCTGGTTGAAGCTGAGGCCTGATGGGATTTATATAATAAATAAAGTTTAACATGTTTTGTCGAGGTTCATGTCCCAACTGCTAACATAGAGGAGGCATGGTGTAGGACTTTACTGCAGCCAGCCACCAGGGGGCAATTTACCGTCGATGCGATCAGATCAGGGATGTGATTGGCCGACAGCGAATTATCTTTTTTCTGCTGGTGCAGCAACTCGAACCTGAAGCTGAAGACAAACACAGTCTGAAAGTCCACTTCCTGTCACAGCTCACTGAGAATCTGACGATCAGAACAAACTGTGATGTAATGCTGCGGGTTCCCAACACGGCCACACGGGGGAGCGCTGCGCTGCGTCCCTCTGCTGTCGTTCAGCGTTTTGTTGGAGGTTAACTGAGAGTTCAGAGAAGAGAGAGAGTCGGAGCTTTCTCAGCTTCTCAAAGAACGACGCACAAAAAAAGGAAGTAAAGAAACCGAAAGGAGGAGAAGACGCTGGTCATGTGTGACGTGATCGCACTGATAAAAACCTCCGACCTTAGCCCCTCCCTCCTCCTGTCGCCCTGCTCGTCAACATAGGCGAAAACTTTTATTTCATGGTGTGAAGTGTGTGTGTGTGTGTGTGTGTGTGGAACTACTTATATAGCAATCAACAAAGAAGCAGGCCTCAATGTTTCCTGTCTGCAGTACAATATGTGTGTGTGTGTGTTTGTGTGTGTGTGTGTTGCCAATGAGAGTCAACCTAGCTCTCCATCAGGAGTCCGTGCTTGTTGTCATGACAACAGGTACCCCCCCCACTTCACTCCTTCCCTCATCAGTTTTCCCACAGAACAAAACCAACATTGTGTTCCTGGTTTCCAGTGTGTGTGTGTGTGTGTGTGTGTGTGTGTGTGAGTGTGAGTATGTGTGTGAGAGACATTCAGGTCAGATTAGTTTGTGTTCATTGAGCTTGTGCTTGGAGACACACACACACACACATTCACTTACTTGCAAACTCACAAATACACACTTGTCACTCTTCATTCACTCAGCTGCTGATGAGAGGGCTAAGTTTCACACACACACACACTCACACACACACTCACACACACACACACACTTCATATCAGCTGAATTCACACGATCAGTGAAAAGGTTCAACACTTCAGTAAAACTTTCACACAGACGGATTCAAGGATTCAGGTTAAATAAAAAATGGGACGTTTTGGTGTAAACTGTGGCTCCGCCCACACTTTGCACTTCCTCTCATGAAAAAAGAAAAATCACAAAAAATCAAACCAAACCATCTCAGATATAAACGCTGCCACCTTGTGGCAACAATCTCATTTTGACTCATTCATCATTTCAGAAGCACAAATTGATTATTTGCATTGGGTCAATTTTCCCATCTGCTAACATGGAGGAGGCGGGTTTAGAGGTTATACTGCAGCCAGCCACCAGGGGGCGACCCAGGTGCCAAGGCTCCACTTTTGGGAGGCGTCGTGTCGTCCAGCTTCACTCTCTGAAAAAATGGAATCTGTCCCTCAGATGAACAGAGTCCAGAACTAAGTGAGAGGTGGACGAGCACCAACTTCAGAGGCGGATGTGGGGCTCGAACCTGTGACCTGTTGTTACGTAACTGCAGTTGGTTCCCATCCAGTCTGTCAGAGACATTGTCGCATGACCAATGGAGGTCTAGTCGTGTGTGTGTGTGTGTGTGTGTGTGTGTGTGTGTGTGTGTGTGTGTGTGTGTGTGTGGCTTCATTAGTGAACAGAGGCGGTCTGTTCACTAGTTTGTATCAGAGGCGAACTCTCATCACTGCTAATGAGAACAACATCATCGTCCTCCTGAAACTCTCTGTTCCTCCAACTCCACATCAATCTCCCTCTCCCTCTCTCTCTCCCTCTCCCTCTCTCCCTCTCCCTCTCTCTCTCTCTCTCCCTCTCTCCCTCTCCCTCTCTCTCTCTCTCTCTCTCTCTCTCTCTCTCTCTGGTTTATCTAAACGATAATTTAATTGATATAAATCTCGTCGGCCGTCAGAGAACAGAAGACGTTTTCTGATCCAGAGTCTGAAGCTTCACGCGTTTGTTCGTGTTTCATTTGATCAGTTTTAGTTTCGCGTTGGAATTTAGAATTTTATCTGACAAACGTACGTCCTTGTCGTCATCACCTACGTGGGCGGAGTCTACCTGTACCTATTATATCGTCGGAGGTGAAGACTGCAGCTGCTTCCTCTTCTGTTTTCTTCTTCTATGGTTTAAAACAAAGTGTTTCTGCAAACAAACAGTTTGATCCAGAACTCCTCTGTGTCGGACTAAACTTTATAGTCTCCAGAGACGAGACAAGATAAGTACGTGTCCAAAACCTCAGTTCTATCAGTGAATCAGTGTCTTGAAGACATTCTGTCCACATGTCAACATGAAGACGGTGAGACACTGGAGGCTCCAGAGGTCAGAGGTCAGATTGTGTCAGTGTCTATATTCTACTTTGAATCTTTAAATAGTTTTTACATGATCCTCTAACATCCCGTCCCTCTTTTGTCTGTCCGTCGCTCTGCAGGACAGAAAAATCGTTTCCCATTAGCCCTTTAAATTTGTAAATCCCCTTCAGGGGTTGCCGGGGGTAACCAGGCAAAGACGTGGGAGGAGAGAGTCTCTCATTGATTAGAAAAGAGTTTGAGTTTCTAAATTAACAGAACTCTGTGCGTGTGCGTGTGCGTGCGTGTTCGTTCTCACACGTGAATTTGGGCTGGTTTCCCATGGCGACGGGACAGTAGTGAGGTCGTTGATATGCAGAGCAGCAGCTCCGCTGAGGGAAAATCCTCCTGACTCTCTTCAGAGGAGACGATCCTCCGTCACACCGAGGAAATGGAAAACTTCCTGACAGATGATTTGTTTAACGAGCTTCTCGAAATCTCCTCTGAACATGAAACTTTAAAGACGTGATCTCGTCCTGATGCCGCAGCGGATGTTTCATGTCACAGTTTTTTTATTTAACCTTCAGACAAAGTTCTTGTGTTTGGATTTAACATTTGAGGGAAAATGATTTGAAGGTGTGTTTGTTGTTTCCAGATGTTTCGTCACATCTGGTTAATCACAATCCTTCTGTCGTCTGCACGTTGAACATTTTATTCAGAATAGTTTTTCCTCAGTGTTATTGAACATAGAATCTGATCATGTTTGTTACTGGCACCGATTCCAATCAGTAATTCCGGCGGCTCATTATCTTGCTCCTGTCTGATTTGATTTAA